TGGCAAAAATTCTCACTCAGAATTAAAAGAGAGACTGACTTTTCAAGACTAGCAAAAGCTGAAGGGGTTGATCACCACTAAACCAGCCTTACAAAAAATGTGAAAGGAGCTTCTTTAAGCTGAAAAGAAAGGATAGTAATCAGTAATAAGAAAACCTATGAAAGAATAAATCTCACTGGAAAGGTAAATTAATGGTAAAGGTAGAAGACTAATCACTTATAAAGCCAGAATAAAGGTTAAAAGGCAAAAGTAGTATAGCAGCTATGATTACAACAACTAGTTCAGGGATACTCAAAGTAAAAAGATATAAAACTTGACATGAAAAACAGAAAACGGTGAGGGGGACATAAAAATGTTGAGCTTTAAAATGGGATCAAACAAGTGGTTATCAACATAAAATAGACTGTTACAGATAAAAGTTATTATATATAACCCTCATGGTAACCACAAAGCAAAAACCTATAGTAAATACACAAAAGATGAAGAAAAAGGAATATATATGCATATCAGTACAAAAAGTCATCAAACTACAAAAGAAGAAAGAGGGATTAAAAAAAAATGGAATGGAGAGGAATTACAAAAACAGCCAGAAAACAACTAACAAAATGTCAATAAGTACGTATTTGTAATAATTAATTTAAATGTAAATGGACTAAATTCATCAACCCAAAGACACAGTAACTGAAAGGATAAAAACATAAGACCCATCTATACATTGCCTACAAGAGACTCACTTTAGATGTAAAGACACACATACAGACTGAAAGTCAAGGAATGGAAAAGGATATACCATGCAAATGGAAACCAAAAGAAAGCTGGAGTAGCTATACTTCAATCAGACAAAACAGACTTTTAAAAAAGACTGTACTAAGAAACAAAGATGAGTGGTACCTAATAATAAAGGGGTCAATTCAACAAGAAGACACAACACTTGTACATATTTATGCAACCAACATAGAAGCACCTAAATACAGAAAGCAAGTATTAAGAGACTTAAAGGGAGAAAATGATACCAATACGATAGTAGTTGGAGACTTTAATACCCACTCATGTCAATGGATAGATTATCCAGACAGAAAATCAGTAAGAAAGTATCAGCCTTCAATGACATGTTAGATCAATGGACTTAATAGATAAATATACAGAACATTCCAACCAAAAGTAACAAAATTCTTATTTTCCTCAAGTGCGCATGGAACATTTTCAAAGACAGACCATGTTAGGCCACAAAACAAGTCTTGATAAATTTACAAAGAATGAAATCATATCAAGTATCTTTTCTGACCACAATGGTATGAAACTAGAAATTAATTACAGAAGGAAAACTGGAAAATTCATAAAATATGTGGACATCAAACAACATACTACTGAACAACCAATGAGTCAAAGAAAAAAATTACAAGAGAAATTTAAAGAAATACCTTGAGACAAACAAAAATGGAAATATAACATACTAAAATTTGTGGGATGCAGCAAAAGCAGTTCTAAGAGGGAAGTTCACAGCAATAAATGCCTACCTCATGGAACAAGAAAATTCTCAAATAACCTAACTTTATACCTCAAGAAACCAGAAAAAGAACAAATAATGCTCAAAGTTAGAAGGAAGTAACAAAGATTAAAACAGAGATAAGTGAAACAGAGAATGAAAAGACAAAAGAGAAGATCAATGAAACTAGAGCTAGTTCTTTGAAAAGATAAAACGCATAAGGCCTTAGAAAGCCCTCTGAAGGAAAAGAGAGAAAACTCAAATCAGAAATGAAAGAGATGTTACAACCGATACCACAGAAATACAAAAAGGATGGTAAGAGGCTAAGACGAACAATTAAACGTTAACAAATTGGACAGCCTAGAAGAAACAGGTAAATTCCTAGATATATACAACCTACCAAGATTGAATCATGATGAAACAGAAATTCTAAACAGACCGATTACTATTTAAGAACCAGACAGCTTCATTGATGAATTCAAAGAACTAATGCCGATCCTTCTCAAACTCTTCCAAAATCAAATTTTATGAGTTTGGCATTACTCTGATACCAAAACCAGACAAGGACGCCACAAGAAAAGAAAATTACAGGCCAACACTCCTGACAAACACAGATGCAAAGAGCACTATTTCTAAGGATTCTTTCAACGCCAGGATTTTCAGAAATCTATACCCTAAAAAACAAACAAACAAACAAAACAAGGTTTTTATTAAGAGGCAGAAAGAACTTATATTCTACACCGATCTGGATGTTGCAGAAATGTTTAGCTACAATAATTTTACACTTTAGGCTGACAGCTGAAATGTCAAGTTTGGTCACAGTTCCAGCAAATACTTTGTTAATACTTAGTTTAATTTAATTACATTGTTTATTAGATTGTTTACATACCAGCCACTGCTGTCCATAAACAAATACATGATTTTTGGCAATGTCAACTCTATCCCATGCCAATGTAAGGATAAGCTGGTCAAACGCAGATGCATTAGTGCCTAATGAAATAAAGAAAACAGTTGACAAGTTCAATTAATTTATCTCCACTAAAATGTAAACACCTATGAATTCTCCCCATTCCCCTTTAATTAACTTACACTGATGGTATTGGTCACTGTTTAGAGGCAGCCTGCCTCAGAAAGACAAGGTTACCCCAGGTTTGAGCACTTTTATTTTCCAACTATAGAAGAGACACAGCCTCATTCATTGCTAACATTCAGAAAACAGAACAATGAGTAGAAAAGAAAGATGATCTGTTTCTATCACAGTGATAGTACTGATTGTTAAGATGAAAAATATCCTTACAGGTGCTTTTCTACGCATATATAAGACTATACATATACTTTTAATTGTTTATGCAAAAGTAGATCACACTATACAAACTATTCAATAGCCTACTTTACGTGTGTTAATATCACACCTCAGTTTTCAGTAACAGTACATATAGACGTACCTTACATACATATATTAATATCTTTTAAAGGTGAACTAAAATGCATTCAACAAATATTCTAACTCGTGGACATTTCAGGTTATTTTGAGTTTTTTGGTGAGTATGTTTTTGTGCACGTTTCATTATTTGAATAGGACAATTCTGTAGAAGCAGAATTGTTGTGTAGATGGACATAGATGTTAAAGCTTTTGATACACTGCCAAAACATATTCCAGAAAGGTAATATCATCCATCAGGGGTTTAGGAATACACAGCAGGAGGAATAAAAGCTTCTTCTTTAAGTTACGTTTTTTTGCTGTTGTTAACATCTTTCCATTATTTCCATATTTCCCCCAAGCAACTCTATTATTCTGCTAGTATCTTTTACATAAATTCTGACTCATTCTTCCATAAGGTATTAATCTTTTTATTATTAATTCATAACACCTTTCTGTGATCCTTCTATATTCCTGTTCTTAGTTTTCTCATCTATAAAATGAAGAAAATAATAGGAAATGGTGTGGGGAGGTGTAGCTCAGTGGTAAAGTGCATACTTAGCATGCACAGGGTCCTGTATCTTCATAATAAATAAATAAATAGGAAAACAAATTTTTAACTTAAAAAAAAATAGGAAATCTGCCTCTTAGGGCTACTGTAAGGATAAAATGAGATAAGCAATGTAAACCACTAAAGCACAGTAGCTAGCACACAAAGTATATGGCAAACAAATACTAGGTACTCTTTTTATTTCTTACATTCATGTAATCATATTTGTTGATCTTTCCCTTTATAGTTTCTGGGCTTCCTATTACATATGGTCTCTTATTCTAAGATGATGTGAACATGTTATAGTATTTTTTAAATGCTTGCTCTACTGGCATTTACTGTGGTCTAATATTTGGGAAATTCTTGCGAATGATTAGACAGTGCCTTCTTGCCCTACTCCTGCCGTCTCACCAGTCCATACTTGGACTTTCAGGTACCCAGACAAAACACCATTTTAG